GTTCCGAATCATAGTGACCCTATATGCAACAAAATGAAACACTGCCCATTCCTGGGCCATCCCAGCTGTTGCCATGTTTGAGCCCATTGCTGAAGCCACGGTGTCAGTCTATCTCATTGAGGGTTTTCCTCTTTTTCACTGACCCTCTACTTTACTAAGCATAATGTCCTTCTCCAGGGACTAGTCCCTCCTGATAACATGTCCAAAGTACATGAGACAAAGTCTCGCTTCTAAGGAACAGTCTGGCTGTACTTCTTCCAAGACAGACTTGTTCGTTCTTCTAGCAGTCTGTGGTATATTCAGTATTCTTCAGCAGTACCTTAATTCAAAGGCATCAATTCTGCCTGAGTCTTCTTTATTCATTGTCCAGCTTTCACATGCATATGAGGCAATGGAAAATATCATGGCTTGGGTCAGGCACACCTTAGTCCTCAAAGTGACATCTTTGCTTTTTGAACACTTGAAAGAGGTCTTTTGCAGATTTGCCCAGTGCAGTGCATCATTTGATTTCTTGACTGCTGCTTCCCTGGGTGTCGATTATGAATTCAAGTAAAATGAAATTCTTGACTTCAGTATTTTCTCCATTTATCATGATGTTGCTTATTGGTCCGTTTATGACTTTTTATTTTATGTTGAGCCTGTAGTCTTTGATCTTCATCAGTAAGTGCTTCAAGTCCTCTTCACTTTAAGCAAGAAAGGTTTTGTCATCTGCATATCACAGGTTGTTAATGAGTCTTCCACTAATCCTGGTGACCGCATTCTTCTTGGATTATTTGCTTAGCATACAGATTGTATAAATTTGATGAAAGGATACAACCCTGACGCACACGTTTCCTGATTTTAAACCACGCAGTATCCCCTTTTTCTGTTGGAACGACTGCCTCTTGGTCTATGTACAGGTTCCATGTAAGCACAATTAGGTGTCCTGGAATTCCCATTCTTTGCAATGTTACCCATAATTTGTTAAGATCCAAACAGTCAAGTGCCTTTGCATAGTCAGTAAAACACAGGTAGAGATTTTTCTGGTATTCTGTGCTGTCAGTCAAGATCCCTCTGACAGCATGACGTCCCCTTGTTCCATGTCTTCTGAATCCGGCTTGAATTTTTGGCAGTTCCTTGTCAATGTACTGCTGCAATCATTTTGAATTATCTTCAGCAGAATTTTACTTGTGTATGCTATTAATGATATTGTTCAATAATTTCTGCATTCTGTTGGATCACCCTTCTTTGGAATGGGCACAAATGTGGATCTCTTCCAGTCGGTTGGCCAGGTAGTTATGTTCCACATTTCTTGGCATAGACAAAAGCGCTTCCAGCACTCCATCTGTTTGTTGAAACATCTCAGTTGGTATTCTGTCAATTCCTGGAGCCTTGTTTTTTTCCAAGGCCGTCAGTGCAGCTTAGACTTATTCCTTAATTGCTACCTCCTGAAATGGTTGAATGTTGACCAACTCTTTTTGGTACAGTGACTGTGTATTCCTTCCCTCTTCTTTTGATGCTTCCTGCATTGTTCAATATTTTGCCCATAAAAAAACAAAAAACAAATCCGTTGCTGTCAAGTCTATTCCGACTCATAGCGACCCTGTAGGACAGAGTAGAAACTGCCCCCATAGGGTTTCCGAGGAGGGACTGGTGAATTCAAACTGCTGACCTTTTGGTTAGCAGCCGAACGCTTAGCCACTTCACCACCAGGGCTCCACATTTTGCCCATTGAATCCTTCAAAATTGCAACTTGAGGCTTGAATTTTTTCTTCAGTTCTGTCAGCTTAGGAAATGCCAAGCATGTTCTTCCTTTTGGTTTTCTAACTCCAGATCTTTGCACATTTCATTATAATACTTTACTTTGTCTTCTCGAGCCACTCTTTTAAATCTTCTGTTTGGCTCTTTTCTTCATCATTTCTTCCTTTCTCTTTAGCTACTGTACATTCAAGGACAAGTTACAGTCTCTTCTGACATCCATTTTGGTCTTTTTTTTTTTTCTTTTTAGTCTTTTTAATGACCTTTTGCACAGTTACAGATATTTCTTAGACATAACCAAATACCTTGCAGGATTGGTTTTTTGCGTTTGAAGCCTTAGAACAATAGTCTTACGGGACAGTTCAGTCAGTTGGCATAATATAGTTCACAGAGTTTACACCTAGTTTGTTAAGTAGCGTCTGAGGTCATAAAAGCTTGTGTGCGGCCATCTAAGAGACAACTATCAGTCTCTTCTCATCCGGAGCAAAAGAGAAAGAAGGAAACCAAAGCCTCAGAGAAGAAACTAGCCTACGGGACTAACAGTCCACATGAACCATGGCCTCATCTAATCTAAGACCAGAAGAGCTAGGTGGTGCCCAGCTACCACTAACAACCATTCTGATCAGGGCCACAATAGATAGATCTGATAGGGATAAAAATGTGGAACGGAACTCAAATTCTTAACAAGTCCACACTTACCAGACCAGTTGAGACTAGAGGACTCCCTGAGACTGTTGCCCTGAAATATTCCATAAACCTTGAACCAAAACTACCCCGAGGGCACCTTTTTGCTAAATAACAGATTGGCTCATAAAATAAATAATACTACCAGTAAGTACTGCACACCTTTAAAAAAATCGTCGGTATGAGACCAAATTCTCAACAATTACTCCAACACAAAGTTAAGAGTGTGAGAGGACAGGGAAAACAGATTACTGTAAGTGAAACCCTCAGAAGGAAATTAATGAGAATATTGACACATTGTGAAAAATGTAACCGATGTCTCTGAACAATTTGTGTAGTAATTGTTAAATGGGAACCTAATTCGCTTTGTAAACTTTCACTGAAAACACAATAAAATATTATTAAAACAAAAAAGAAAAATAATGATAAATTGTCTGATTTAGTTGGAGAAAAGGATCGTGTGCAGGGATCAAGAGAAGGTGGCTGCAGCCCAATTTTGCAGGCTTCCATTGTTTGGCAGTTAGGATGAGGAGGATGAAGGTTTCTGAGCAGCGAGTTGGTCAGAGCAATGCCTGGGCAGTAGTTTGAAGAAAGAACTACTAGGAGCAGGAAAGATAATTAGGAGACTGTATTGGTTTTCTGTTACTACATAATATTACCACAAATTTAGCAGCTTAAAACAGCCCATATTTATTATGCCACAGTTTCTGTTGGTCAGGAGTCCCAGTGCCACTTAGCAGTCTCACAAGCCTTCAATCAAAGTGTTAGCTGGGGCTGCTGTCTCATCTGAGGCTCAACTAGGGAAGAATTCACTTTTGGTAGCAGAATTCGGTACCTGTGGTTTTGGACCAAGGACTTCAGTTTCTTGCTGGCCAGAGGCTACCCCTAGCTCATAGCAGCCACCCTCAGTTCCTTGGCCTCCTGCCGTAGGCAGCCCACAACATGGTACCTTGCATCTTCAAAGCCAGCAAGGGAGTGAGACACTTCAGCAAAACAAGGACTGTAATCTTACATACATAATCACATACATTCCATCATTTTTGCCACACTGTGTTGGTTAGAAGCAAGTCCCAGGTCATTCCCATACTCCAAGGGAGAGGACTATGCAAGGACGTGAACACTGGGGGACAAAAGGGCCACTCTAGAATGTGTCTGCAGCAGATACAGTTGATGAGACAGGAAGCACTCAGGACCTGAACTACTGGGAATAGAGAAGAGTCAGAGTCAAGGAATTATGTCTAGGAAATAATTATGATTTCTCGCCCATACCATGTTAAGTTCTTTGCATACAATATCTCATGTAAGCCTCTCAATTTGTCTCTGTGGTCAGTGCCAGAAAAATCTTTATTTCACAGATGAGGACACAGGCTTTGAGAAAGTAATTGCCAAAGTCATATATATCCTAGCTGCAAACCTGGGTGTCCAAACCTAGATTTAACCTAGCACGTCAGTCCCAGAACATATAATCTTAACCAATTTGCTTTTCTTGGACTTGAAAGTGTAGTAGATCTGAAGAGAGATGGATAAGAAAACATCAACTCCAAGATTCTAAGTCATTTCAATTTGGGAAATGATGGTATTAATTAATAGAAATATCATGAGGGACACTAGTAAATTAATACTTACAGCGCACACAGCACATGCCAGGTAGTACACTAAGCATTTGGTATGCGTTTATCGTACTTTATAAAGTCCTCTCCCCACTTTTGTTTTTGTTATTATTGTTGTTAACTGACGTTGAGTCGGCCCTGATTCATGACGACCCCATGCACGATGGAACAAAACGCTGCATGGTCCTGCACCATCCGCATGATTGGTTGTGGATCATACTGTTGTGGTCCATAGGGTTTTCATTGGCTGATTTTTGGAAGTAGATTGCCAAGCCTTTCTTCCTAGTCTATCTTAGTCTGGAAGCTCCACTGAAACACATTCAGCATCAAAGCAAAATATGCACTTCCACTGACAGATGGGCGGTGGCTGTGCATGATATGCATTGGCCAGGAATCAAACCTGGGTCTCCTGCATGGAAAATGAGAGTTCTAGCACTGTACTCAAAATCATATATAATCACAGTCTGTTCAGCTATGACCCCATTGTTCTTGTCCTATCTGCTTCCCTTTTCTACCCTGTCATCACTTTACAGATGGTCCTTCTAATCCTTAAAATATCCTGTAAGATATTATCCCCAATATACAAGTGAAAAAATCTGGGCCTGGAATTTGGATCCTGTCCTGACTGCAAAGTCCAAGTCTTTCCACGACAACATACTGACTCTCAGTGGTCTTAAATTGTTATTGAAGCTTCCAAGGACTAGCTAGAAATCATGTCTATGAAATGAATAAGAAGCACAGATCTTTTTTTGTGTGTTGCTTTTGAATTATATTCAGCTGTAAAAAGTTCTGTGTGAGCTTGTATATCTAATACTTTGCTATATGTTTAATTCTTGAGTTTTTTTTCCAAAAAAAAGTCATGGACCCTTTTCCTTAATGAACTTCCAATACATCCAGTATGACCACATTGAATTTCTGCAGCTATACCCTAAAACACTGAGTTAATACTTATATTGCATTATTTTTCAGGTGTGCAAATGAAACTAAATTCAAAACGGAAGAAGTATTTTGGGCTTACAATTTCTGTCCTACTCCATATTCATGGACTGCACTTCTGGGCCTTATTTTATATCTTGTTTTCTTCGCACCTGGTAAACAAAGGCTTTGTTGTTGTTATTGTTACATTAATTTAAAAGCCTCTTTTTGGAAGAGGCAAGTGACTATTTTTCAAATTCCTTACATGCTATTTTACTGAAATTTTGTTTTCTTAGGAATGGGACCAATGCCTTGGACTGTGAATTCTGAAATATATCCCCTTTGGGCAAGAAGTACAGGAAATGCGTGTTCATCTGGAATAAATTGGATTTTCAATGTTCTGGTTTCACTGACATTTTTACACACAGCAGAGTATCTTACATACTATGGTAAGAGTATATTTTTCCCAACTATAGTTTCATTTTTACTTTTCCTACTCTATTTTTAAATATGCTATCATTTGTGATTGAAATACTAGGCAGTTATATTTTTGCTGTTACAAATATCTCCATGTGGATTTTTTGTTCCCCAAAGGCCTTGGATATGTGTCTGTGAAAAGATAAGCAGAATTCTCCTTTCCTAAGCAGCATTGCTTCTTGTCCCTCAGTGCTTTATGGCAGTCACCCATGAAGTCTCTCAACCCAGACATCCTCCATATACCTCCCACGTTGGAAATCCTCACTGTGTGGATTTTAGTTTAGAGGAGAAACAAACAACAGCGAATGGTAGGAAGATGCAGCCAGGGAGTCTAGGACTAATGCTTGAAGATCTCCCATGACAGACAGAGTTGCATCCAAGACGAGTGGAATCAGGGTAGGGCTCAAAGCAGCTCACCTAAATGCTTAAAGATTCATGCTGGGACAATTAAAATACACACACACACACACACTGTTTCTTTTTCTGTGTGTGTCAGTGACTATATATTTACTAAGTATGCCTACACACACACACACACACACACACACACACACACACACACACTGTGAATTATCTGCCTTCCACTGCACTGTAACATCTGTGCTGTTCAGGCCAAGACATGCACATTTCAGCGTGCTGTGTAACCAACACAACTTCCAAAATAAGTGTAACCCGAGTGTTCACGTGAAAATGTGTGAAGATCATAATTCAAGGAAAACACTATTGGGAAGTGGCTGAGTTAAGAAAATACTTTGGAAAGCTATTTCAAATCCATTTTTACTAAAAGTGAAAGACTTTATTTTTCCTTTTAGAAAGAGAATGTCTATTTTCTACATGAGTTTATAGGTTGTCATCTGATTCTAAATGATAAAAATGTAAAATTTTCATTCTCATCTCCCCATAAAGCCTGTCTGTTGTATGTGGGACGCCTACTGCTTAGACCATCCTTCTTCTAGAAGAACTTCTTTGACCCCCTCCCCACCTCTCCTTATGCCATGCTCTGGGCACTTAGAACCCTGTTGCAAGAACGTGTTTACTCATCTGCCCCCAACCTCCACCCAACTAACCAGTTGCCATCAGGTCGCTCATGGTGACCCTATGTATGCTAGAATAGAACTGTGCTCCATGGGGTTTTCAGTGGCTGATTTTTTGGAAATAGATCACGAGTGGTTTCTTCTGAGGCACCTCTGCATGGACTCTAACCTTTTGGTTAGCAGCCAAGCACTTAACCTTTGCACCACCCAGGAACCATAAATCACTTGAGGGGCAGGACACTGCCTTGTTCACCCTTGTATTCCCAGTGCCTTCCAGAGCATCCTATTCATATGACTAGCACGCAAAATTGTCTGTCAAATGAATAAGTGGATGGACTTTGTAGAGAAATTATAATTATGAGGAAACATGGTAAAAATCTATTTTCCCTCTTTTCTGAACATGCTGAATTGGTATTTAATTTTAGTTATACTATTTCTCTAATGCTTTTATTATCTTTATGAAACTCTTCTCTCGTAATCATCACTTAAAACATTTAGAAATATTCATTTCATATGGTATATTAAGCTTTATCTCATTTGTCAATTAAAATTTTTCACATAAATTTATAAATATTTACACATATTTCCAGATGCTTGAGGAAACTTAAATAGTTGAAGACCTAAATATAGACTAGCATCTTGAAAAAGCATCTTTTACAGAAAGTCATAGACCGAATAATAACAGTCTACATGGTAAGATTTTTGATAACAAAGTTCCTCTTTTTTGAATTTATGCTGCCAGAAAAACATGAGGCAGTAGAAGTGAAATTTAAATAGGGTATAACCAGGCTTCTTTCAAAAATATTTGACCAGAAGAAGCATTTTTCTTTGCATTAAGCTTCTATCATGTCTACATACTAGCCCATTAGGTCCAGAAATCACTACTCCCTAGTAGTAGAAAAATACTTCCATTCAGATTTGTTTTTTGTTACATTTTAATCCACGTTACTGACTTATGTAAGCTATGTGCTTATATTCCTCATTTAACAAATTTATACCTTAATGGTGTGTGTCTCTGGAAATATCCAGATCTTCTTTTGTTTCATAGAATCTCAATTTTTGATTCCTTCTAAAATCATCCAGCTTAAGCGGATCTGTCTTGGACCCCATTCAATAATGTTTATTACTAAAATTATTAAAATGTCACCGAAATATAATACCATTTCAGCTATAGCATGTATGCTAAATAGATCCCTTCAAAGGCATTATATTAAAGTCCCTGTGTTGAGGCATTAAAATTCAATCAAACATAGCCTTCGATTCCTCAGATTGTATGGTTCAGTTAAATATTTGTTTTAATCTGAAATTTAATATGCACTGGGTTAAAAAGAACACTAAACCCATTGCCGTCGAGTCGCTTCCAACTCACAGCAGCCCTATACCAAAAACACCAAACCTGTTGCTGTCTAGTTGATTCCGTCTCATAGCTACCCTATAAGAGAGTAAAACTGCCCTGGGAGTGTAGTGGTTAAGAACTCGACTGCTAACCAAAAGGTCAGCAGTTCAAATCCACCAGCCACTCCTTGGAAACAGTTCTACTCTGTCCTGTAGGGTCACTATGAGTCGGAACTGACTCAACGACACCAAAAACAAAAACAATAAGATTTATTTCCTCCAGAATAAAGCTGAGGAATACTGGCACTATTTAACAACCCTGACAAACTCATTACAGACTTTCTTTTTTTTTTTCATTTTAACTCCAAGAGAGAAAAATTGAGAACATTATTGACTTGCTCATGACATGAAGCAGGTCCCCGCCTCACAGGCCTGTCCACGGGCCTCTGTGGCTTAACCACCAGTGGAACCCACACTTAGCAGGCAGTTATGGCATTTGCCTGTTTGGAATTCCTCAGATTTTATAAAAGGTTCTTGTATTTTAATACAACATCCTTGATGTTATTTTAGCTTTGGGAATCTGGGTCATATATGAGAAGCTGTGTAGCCTTTAAAAATCTCCCTAATCCATCTACGTGCCGTGACTCGGACTCGAACCGAGGTTGCTGCAGCCACAACACAGAGTACTAACCAGTACATGAGGTTTTTGTTGTTTTTTTTTAATCCATCTTTTTTTTTTTTTTTTTAACTCTAATGTTTCCATCTTTAACTCTAAGGTTTAGGACTGACAGATTTGATTTGTTACCTCTGATCATGCCACTGTTCCCAAATTATGAAATATGATGAATGCTTCCTCAATATTATGTTTTATGAGGCCAAACTAGGTTTGCTGTGTTAGATTTTGTAGCTGAGCAGCCTGGTTTAGTCTAAAATGTTTTACCATCTGTTTTTATTTTCTGTATTATCATCATCATCACTGTTACCAACTCTTTTTTGTCGCTATGTGACTTTCTGGCCCACCCTCTCTACAGAGCCACGGAGAGTTCCTCTCACTGTACCACTCAGCCATGATCCCAGATGACCTAGTCTTATTTTCTGATTGTTTCCTAAGTATTTTTTGTCTATTCCATGAGATTATAAACTCTGTGATGGCAGAAATTCTCTAAATTTAGTTTGATTCCACCTAGAAGAAAAATACAAGCTTGCATAGTGAACAAAACTGAGATGAAATAAAGGAACCTTATATTTGTAAATGGAGTATAGTTTTATTAAGCAAACCAAACCCATTGCCATCAAGTCGATTCTGACTCATAGCAACTCTACAGGACAGAGCAGAGCTGCCCCATGGGGTTTCCAAGGCTGTAATCTTTACAGAAGCAGACTGCCACATCTTTCTCCCACAGAGCGGCTGGTGGGTTCGAGCTGCTGAACTTTCAGTTAACAGCGGAGCGCTTTAACCATTGCACCACCAGGACTCTTTATTAAGCACAGAGAATTTCATTTATACAAGTCCAGCTCCTTAAGAGTTTTATGGCTTTTGATAACTTAATCTAATAAACTGTGTCTTGATTTCTTTGATCCTTTCCTGTTTTTCTTATATCCCATAATTTATCTCTGTTTCCATTCTATTTTCTCAAGGCTCCTCATTCCACAGAGTACAGATTCTTTTGAGTGACCACTTCTACAGCATTTTCCTCCATAGTTTTCCTTGAGCCTTCCCAAGAAATGTTTCTGTGCTTGTTCCTGAAATTGTTACTTATAGGGGTATCTACAAGAAAGTTGTCTTGATGATGTCTTTCCCTTACCGTGAAGATTTAGCAGGATTGAGAAATGTTATTCAGTTCTTCGACTGCTATGCTTATTCAGCTTAAAATTTGCCTTTAAAATACATCTTCATATTTTCTAGTTTAGCCCCTTACTTCAGATCTGCTACCCAATGCATGGAGTTCTGGTGGCGCAGTGGTTAAGAGCTTGGCTGCTAACCAAAAGGTCAGTAGTTTGAATCCACCAGCCACTCCTTGGAAACCATCTGAAACAATTCTACTCTGTCCTATAGGATAGCTATGAGTCAGAATTGACTTGACGGCAGTGGGTTTGTTTTGTTTTCACCCAATACATCAATGCATATTATCTGACATTCAACAAGAACACATTCATTCTCTAGAGCCTCCAGTGTGTCAGGCACTATACTGGGCACTGAAACAGAAAAGCAGTTCTCCTTATCATCATCTCATAACCATCTCTTGTATACCTGCTCCCTGTTTTGGATGTGAGATTTATAGAGATAAACTTGCAACACTTTAGAAAGAGCTGAGAATCCATCTTATTTTACTTATGAGGAAACCAAGGCCTAGAAAACCAAAAAACCAAAGCCATTGCTGTAGAGTCAATTCTGACTCATAACAACCCTACAGGACAGAGTAGAACTGCCCCATAGGGTTTCCAAGAGCATCTGGTGGATTTGAACTGCTGGCCTTTTGGTTAGCAGCCTAAGCTCTTAACCACTGTACCACAGGGCTCCACCAAGGCCCAGAGAGGAGGCTAAGTGACTGTCTAGAAATCACATAGCCAAGACCTAAACCCAGGTCTTCCAACTCCCCCATCTGATATCTTTTCTCCATTTGTCACATCAATTTCTCATCTTCCTTCCATGATCTCATATACAGAGGATGGTCAGGACCAAAGGCCTAAAATTAGGTAGGGACTCCATTATAGTTACTCCATTATAATATTTTTTACGCAAATAATGCGTGACTTCTATGTTTGTTTGCCAACCGTGCCTGTGAGGTATTTTCATAACATGCTGTGCTAATTTTTTTTAAGGCAGCATATTAAAAAAAATTGGCATAGCAGTGTTTATGAAAATACTTTGCGGCAGGAGGGTGGGGTTGGCAAACAAACATTTTTAGAAAACGTGTGTTATTTGTGTAAAAACAGCAGTGTTCTCCACCATCAAAAGTAAAAGTATATTTAAATTGGGAATTAGATTATAAAGGAGAAACCATCTTGCAATATGTAAAGAATACACAGAAGTCACGTATTCATATATCTCATTCACCTAGGCGTGTTGTACTGAGACCTAGAAAACACAAGCAGGTATTTACGTCTTTGTGGCTGTGATATATTGACATCCATAATCTTACAGCAAAACCTCATGGAGTTTCCATTCTAGTAAAGGGAAAGAGAAAATAAACAAATTAATAAGCTTTATAATATGTCAGATGGTGATAAGTGCTATGGAGAAAAAAGATGGATCTAGACAAAAGGAGCAAGAGGATGAGTCAGGAGACTATTGCAGTAGTGCAGATGAGAAGGGATGATTCTTAGACCAGAAATATCAAGTGGAAATGGTAAGAAGTGGTCACCTCTGGGTTATATTTTGAAAATAAATCTATCAGGATTTTCTAACAGATTGGATGTTGGATATAAGCGTAAGAGAAGAGTCAAGGATGACTACCACAGGCTTTTGGCATGAGAAACTGGAAGGATGGAATTGTCTATTCCATTGAGTCATTAATTCAGCAATGTCATCTATTGGTTCTAGAAATACAAGATGGAATAGGAAAGAAATTACTCCTAGCCTCAAAGTGCTTACAATTTGAGACAGGACGGACATACACATGCCCATAATTGGTTATAATGCACATCTTGGTTATTATGTTACAGGTCTGACTAAAGTACTGTGGAAGCACATAAGAAGGAGCGAGTACCTCTAGCTAGGGAAGTGAAGAAAGGCTTCAAGCCAAAAGTTACATCTGAGCTCCATCTAATCTTCTTGAGTTTAGCATCACATGCCTTGGATTTAGAAACATAAATTGTATTATATTCATAGGGTTAGGACATTTTGAGTAAACTAGACTGGAAGTAATTTTTTGGTTCCATATCTTACCATGGTTATTCACAATTAATCAGAAAGAAAAGTCAGAATCAAGTACGCTGTTCAACCCAGGCAAATATGTATACACACACAGATTATTTTCAATTGCAGGAGCCTTCTTCCTCTATGCTGGACTTGCTGCTGTTGGACTATTTTTCATCTATGGCTGTCTTCCTGAGACCAAAGGGAAAAAACTAGAAGAAATTGAATCACTCTTTGACAACAGGCTATGTACATGTGGCACTTCAGATTCTGATGAGGGGAGATATATTGAATATATTCGGGTAAAAGGAAGTAACTATCATCTTTCTGACAATGATGCTTCTGATATAGAATAATGTTCAGCTGCTGATATATTTAGTTATTTAAACAAACTTGGGGGAAGAGCAGCAATCGGTGACCTCACTGCCCTGCTTCTAATCTGGTTCCTTCCACAGTCTGGTTTTGAATGACTTCGTATTCTAGAATACTTGATTAGGAAGAGGGTACAATCATGGTAATATTTTTTTTCCCCACAGGCAGAAGTGTAAAAAAATATTTATAGAGATTTTAATCTAATAATTCTTGAACAATTGTGTGTAATTCCTTCCTGAGATAGTCTAAAATGAATATTGTACCCAGTGACTTCGGTGGTATCCTTTTTACCCAAGACCATATTATAATTCTTAGTGGCAATAGAGTCGGTACTAAACTAGCCGAATTAGGTATGTATGACATACTTATAAAGAAAGATTCTTGGCCATGGTCCAAGGATGTTTTATGTGCAAACATGGCCTACTGACTCTAAATTTTCCTAAGGAGAAGTATCCTATCTGTGAACAGCTGTGGAAAGTAAATTCCATTTACGTTTTTGTCAACACATTTAAAAATACCTTCTATAAGGATACAGCTGTCCTTATCTCCTTTGGATTTCACATTTTGGTTTCTATCTTCAGTTCAGACATTGAGAGTTCAGAGACTGATTCTGTACATGGTCTTTTGAACTTTGTCATAAGCAGGTCTTTTAGGGGTTATTTTCATACTTGTGTTTTATCAATGGTAAGTGCTAGCAAGTGTTGATAAGTATATTTCATTGCCAGAAAGTGAGAAACAAAAAGTTTTTATGGATCCCTGATTGATACTTAGGTACACAGTTGTAAACACAAAATAGCTCCAGATTTTCAGCTGTACTTCAGGGCCAGTTTTTGTTCACGCCAAAATCACCTAGTAATCACCATGCCTTTTTACTCATCAACTCTGCAAGTCCTACTATTTGTGCCTTCATTTGTGTTATATAAATAGCTGCTAGCAGACTATTTTTCCCTTTCTTTTAATCAAACAATAATTTCTGAAAAAAAAAGAAAGGAAGGAAATTAGTGGCAGAAATAATCCTGCTTTTATCTATGTTCATGTAATTAAAATAGTGGGACTTATTTTTTCTTAACTTTGTATTAAACTCTTCGTAAACGAATTATCACATTTTATTACTTAATAGCACCTTTTTTTAATCCAAGAGCATAAACTAGCTTTTATTTTGCATACCTCTCCTCATTTTCCCTGACAATTTACAAAAAAAAAAAGGATACATAGATTTGTTTGTGTTTTTCTCATGTTTGACTTGGATTTTTTCCCTCCTTACCTAAAAACTGGGCTTTTTTGTTGGAACCGATTAATAGTTCTACTGTATAGCACATGTCTTTAAGAAATGTTGACTTAGGTACATTTGTACAATGTCTTTTCAAGTGTTCATTGGTTTTTATGCCCATTTATCACTGAACTCTAATTTTGCTCTCATATTAAGAACTATACAGAATGTACAAAATTACTAACCAGTTCCCGTGAAAGTATGAATTAATCTTTTGTGGCCCATTGTGAATGTATAAGTCTGGTGCATTTTAATATGGCTCTAAGCATCTAATGTGATACCATTTGGAGTGAAAAGGTGACTATCTCTAAATTCAAATTGTTTCTGCCAGTCTCCAAGATGATTTGCTCTCCTTTTAAAGTCATGTGTTTCTATCACAATTATCAAAGCTAAGAATTTAGCCTACGAAGTTTATTCTCTAAGTCACTGGAAGTATGATATGTGCTTAAACAGTCACTCCACTGGACTAAAAATCCTTCAGCCAAAAAAAAAATAAAAAGCTTTCTCCCTTTGGTCATTTCAGTTAGTAAAAAAATAATATTTTAGAGAGAGATTCTCTCTTGAATTAGGTGCCTTGGCAATTGATTTCTAAGGAGATATTAATATTGATTTTCCCTCCAAAAAAAATCAGATGTGATCTAATAGAGTATTATTCTATTGATATTTTTTATCCTATGAGAAACTTAACTGTGTAATATTTTACACAAGTAAAGTAAAATGGAAAATGAGGTGTTATATGGTAAAATCAGAATATGTTGGGGAGAAAAAGTATTTAGACCAATAAAATTCTCTCTTCAAAAGTTTATTTTTCTGATTTATCCAAATAATTGCCTCAGTTTTTCTCTTTATTGTATACATAGCCTTAACTATATGCTTATGTAATTAGCTGGACTGAATATACAGTTTACTTTATTAAAGGAACAACCAGACTCTTATTATTTCCTAAAGCAGAACATGGCCTGTTCTTCCTGACATAAGAAGATGATGTTTTCAACTTTACATCCATAAATTCATATAATAACAGGGAAGATTAGCCACAGTTCTTCCCCATTCCACTCAGCCCCTTCTTTAATGGACTGTGTTATTTATATAGTAATAAAGATAACATTCCATATCTTTGAAGTGTAAGACAGAGAGGCACAATAAATATATAAGAATTATTTGTAATTTTTAAAAGCTAATTATTTGAGAGGAGCCCTGGTGGTGCAGTGGTTAAGCGTTTGGCTGCCAGCCAAAAGGTTAGTGGTTTGAACCCACCAGCTGCTCCTCAGGAGAAAGATGTGGCAGTCAGCTTCCATAAAGATTTACAGCCTTGGAAACTCTGTGGGGCAGTTCTACTCTGTCCTATGGGTCGCTACGAGTCAGAATTGACTCAATGACAATGAGTTTGGTTTTTTCGGGTTTTTTTTTTTTGTAATAACTATTTGAAAGGGAACCTTATACAATTGGTATTATTTTTAGATTCAGTAAACATTTATAGTATAATAAAAATTAAACATTTGATTTTTGTAGGTTGTTTTATATTGTGCACCTTTAAGTTCTAAGCATCTTTGGCTATCACTATCAACTTAAGACCATTCCATTGGAAATATCATCATGTATGTATTTTGTAGAAGAATTTCTATATGGTATGATTTAACACATCATACTAAACAGACACAGATTAAGCACCATGTTTTAATTGAAATTACAGGCTTCCTTCTTAACATGCTGCAGATTCAATAGCGGTATATTATACTTCAGAAAACTACAGTGAAGACGATCATATCCCTGTAGAGGCTTAACCAGATAACTGATGAAATTTGTGCTAGACTTAAGTGAATATAACATTTTGGCCACTTTTGAACACAGAGTTGAATGTGATGTCAGATAGATTTTTAAAATTTAGTGTTAATATTTTTCTTCAGTATGAACATTCCTAATAATATTGTTGCACCTAACTTATTCAATAAGTTTTTCAAAACATGATTACTTTTAATGTGTATGGAGAAGATCTAAATTAAAACTAGATCTAACTCACCAGGTGACTTTCTCCCCAAATAAAAGGTAATGCTCTGTTTGGAATTTTGTTCCCAGCCGTCTGCAGTTGTTAGTTCCCTGATAAAAAATGCTGTGAGAGTAATGCTACAGAGAGCTTTCTTATCATTTATTTTACCACTGAACCAGATTTTAGTACATAAGAGTCTAAATTTATTTAAGTTACTCACTCTAAAATGGAAACGCGTTTTAAATCCAAGCAAAGCATGTTAAAGCAAAGAATTTAGAAATTCTTTTTATAATTTCAAAATCAGTTATCCAGGGGAAGAACAATCAGGAAAAATGTAAAAGCTGGTAATTTACCTTTTTGCTTGTAAATAGCTAAGTAAATTAAAAATGTATTAAATAATCTATAGATCCTGGGAAAAAGGATGTTCTAAAAAACACCGTCCTTATGTCATCTAAGAAAGTTTCACATTTAATGATGCTAATATAATTCATATATACTGTAACACAATGGGGGAGGATTGTTTTGATTTTATTTTATTGCAGAAATAATTGGGAACAATAAAATTAATCAGACTTGTTTTTTTTAACATTTTTCAACTTACGAAATATCAAATTATATTGAGTAGCTAACAAATTGATGTTTATATAGTTTTTCTGACAAGTTTTCAATTACCAAATTCAGACCTTTTCACTAACTAGGGACAAAAGAAAAGATTATATACCAGGCCACAAGCAGAAATTCATAATATGTGCTTTATGATAAAATGTATTAAAAGAGTAAAATTTATAGCTTATATGTAGCTACTGCCTATAAAAAGACTCACAATTGTTCTCAGGATCAATTTTAATGTCTTTTTTTTTTTTTTTTCTGTCATTTTCTATCAGTCTTCCTTGCCTCTTGTCAGTAATTTTAAGGTAATTTGATGAAGTGTTTCAGGTGGTACCAGTGTATCAGTTGAGTACATTCAGTTCTTCTTCTAGGTGAGCAGTATTGCTGCTATTTTCTAGAAATAGCAGTCATTTAAAAATGCCAGACAGCTAACAGCTATCAACTCTTTCTTGACATTGTCTCTTATAGAAGATTTTAGTGTGCCAATAATCATTACTGAGGCATTTGGAAGAATGTTCAAAAGTACATGAAAGTATTTCATCAAAATTTGCTCGTGAGCATAAAACAGTATAATTCCTATAAATCTTTACTTTGTATAAAATACGGTCTATTGCACTTGAGTAATTTGGTTTATGGAAATTATAAATATTTTCATTTAGCATTAATTCTCAGATTTTTATTTTACACAGTTTATGTGTTTGATTTTGTCATATCTGTATAAATGAGAAAAAAAGATGGATCATGCAGTTAACGTATAATTAAAAATTTTGAATCAATATTTTGTAAAGTTTTAAAGTTTTATTATATTTAACATCATTCCATTTCATTTGAAGGTTAAAAAAGATGAGACTTAAATCTAGCCAAAGTAGAAATTTATATTATACCTGCCCAAACTGTTTTCCTAGCAGTTTTTGGACTGTATCTTACTTAATGTTGTAGCATCTTTTATTTATAATAAATGTTTAAATTTCTGTTTAGAAGCTCCAGTGTACATCTAGATTAAATTAAAACACAGTTTTATGCTTTTAAAGTAGACGTATTTCAAAATGTATATTTTAATCTCTGATTGCATGTTATAGTATTTAATACTTCATATGTCTTGGCAAATTCAGTATAAATATTTATTACCACACTGGACATATGGGATATCTCTTTAAAATGATAAATATGTAACATTGCCTTCAAAGTCATTCTAGCCTATGCTGTATCAAAAGTATTGTACATTTTATGGAGATTTAGTGATGTACATGTAAATGTTTTTAAGTTATTTTATTGAAGCTCATTCTTTACATAAAATTAAAATCTTAAAAAAAAAAAAGTGTCAGTGCCAGAACTGTAAATGAAAGTAATCAAATAAAAGTTAATTCATTACTCATTTATCTTCCCACACTTTTCATTGCCTCTATTTCTCTTTCATGGATTTTAGGATCTAAATTACATAGTAAAAGTTTCTACAATCTGCCTCTATAGATTCATGTAATCCTCTACATTTTAAAGATATTTTTACCTCTTTTGATCATGGGTAAACTCAACAATCTTTTAAAAATATTTTATAATACATAAAATTTTTTATAAGGAATTATTCTAAATAGTAAATTTAAAACCTTGAAATGTGGTGCTTAAGACTTCTTGAAAATCTTACTATTTTTGGCTGTTGCTTTTTAGGTAAAAATAAAATACCTGCTGGATGGCTAGTTGACAGTTCTTTCCCAATTCTTTTGTTCTCTGTTCCCACTCTGCCCCAGCCATAGCTTTTATTAGCAAGCATGTATTATTATTTGATCTGAGCAGTCCCTAGATTTCTCTTGGGAGTCAGATGTGTGCCATCCTGAAGCCCAGGGTAGAACTAGCCTGAGGAAATCTTTGGAATACACTAGTTCCATTGTCATTGAAAGATTTACAGTGGAGTTGCATCTTCAGCAAGGATTCTGAAGTCAGCAGGTAAGGTAAAAATCCTACAGTCAAAATGACCCTTGACAGTCCTGTAAGTTACA